ATACTTGTTTGAATGCAAAAAAATTATTCAACCTCTTATGCATCCTAATTTAAATGAGTGCAATAACAAATCCTATATAATAAAAGCCTAACATGCTAAGTGTCTGACCGTTTGACCGTTCAACCAGTCACTATGACATGCACCGACCACCAGGGGTGCACATCCTCCGACCGGTAGATTAGCTTGCTGCTGGGGTCTGGACAATTAGGACTGGGCAAGATGGGCCAGACACGCCCTGGAGCCCTCCCGCAGTTCCTCCCTGGCCTCGATTGTGCACCAGTGGGGTACTTTGGCCTGTCCTGCTCCCTCTTGCAATCTGGGACCCCTCAGGGGATGTTGGAGAGCCAGTGTTGGCCCAATCCCTGCAGGCCAGGCCTAAGGACCCCACCAGTGCACAAATCTGTGCACCGGGCCTCTAGTAAACATATAATGTTCTTAGAGGATATAATGAATATACTTTGCAAGAGTCTGGAGCAGTTTTTGGCAGGTGAGCAAGCATGCATGTGCTTTTCCTAGGCTTGGGGAAAGTGAATTGGCAGATATATTCACTCCAAAGAAGCCATTCATCAAGTTATTTGGTTTTCTATATCTCAATTTACAAACTTATAAACATTAAATTAGGGCGATTTTTCCATAAAGATCCTTAAGATTCAACATAATACAAATCTGTACACAATGAGTGCACTAAGTTTTATTGTCAAGATGATTTTTATCTGGAGAATCTTGAAATACAAGTTATTGCTATAATGAAATAATACATATTGTATGCACACTCATTTGTTGTTCTCATAGCCACCAAGCATTTTGTGATTCTCCGCATCGATGGAGAATGGGACAGAAGTGACTGAGTTCATCCTCCTCGGACTAACCAATGACCCAGAACTGCAGGTCCCCCTCTTTATCATGTTCACTCTCATCTACCTCGTCACGCTGATTGGAAATTTGGGGATTATGGTGCTGATTCTCTTGGACTCTCGTCTCCACACTCCTATGTACTTTTTCCTCAGTAACCTGTCTCTGGTGGATTTGTGTTACTCTTCAGCTGTCACTCCTACAGTCATGACTGGGTTCCTTGTAGGAGATAAGGTCATGTCCTACAATGCATGTGCTACTCAGATGTTCTTTTTTATAGCCTTTGCCACTGTGGAAAATTACCTCTTGTCCTCGATGGCCTATGACCGCTACGTAGCTGTGTGCAAACCCCTGCATTACACCACCACCATGACACCAGGTGTGTGTGTGCATATGGCCATAGGCTCCTATATCTATGGTTTCCTGAATGCCTCCATTCATACTGGGGACACCTTTAGTCTCTCTTTCTGTGAGTCCAATGTGGTTCATCACTTTTTCTGTGATGTTCCAGCAGTCATGGTTCTGTCTTGCTCAGACAGGCATATTAGTGAGCAGATTCTTGTTTTTGTGGCAAGCTTCAACATTCTTTCTGCTCTCCTGGTTATCTTTATTTCCTACCTGTTCATATTTGTCACCATCCTAAAGATGCACTCATCTTCAGGGTATCAGAAGGCTCTGTCCACCTGTGCCTCTCACCTCACTGTAGTTACCATCTTCTATGGAACTATTATCTTCATGTACTTAAAACCCAGCTCCAGTCATTCCCTGGACACAGACAAGGTAGCCTCTGTGTTCTATACTATGGTCATCCCCATGCTGAACCCTCTGGTCTACAGCCTGAGGAACAAGGAGGTCAAGAGTGCACTCAAGAAGGTTGTTTCAAAGGCAGAATTTATTTTCTTCAGGATTATGATTTCAACATTGTGCAATATTCAATAACTTAGTTTCATTAAGGCCACAGTAAGATTAAGGTCCCAAAGTAATATCCTTACCTATTCAAAAGTCTCTTCTTCAAAAAAATGGAAACATGTCCAGAAATGTACCACCTGAACAAGGATGGCTAAGATGTCATGGGTCCTGCTTGTCAAAAACCTTATTAAGGATATTGGTTTATTCACTTATTCTACATGCATTTTTTTCTACCACATCAATGCAAATACACCTAAAATAGGGCTGCAAAGGAGACTATGAACAAAATGCATGCATGCACCCCAGAAGGATACCTCACCTTGCAGTAGAAATCAACAATATTTTACATTTTGCTTCTGGAAATGCTTTGTAATTTCTATCGCTGATATTTCATGTCTACTTTTGTTGATTTAAATGATCTTTTGTTACTGCCCCATTCTGTTACTCTACTTCATTCACACTGATTTTCTTTCTATTTTTCACAGTCTGACAACTCCAATCATGTTCCTTCCCCATGTCATTTGTACTTGCTCTTTCCTGTGTGGAGTGTTTTCTTACTCCATTAAGGCTGGTGCTTAAATGTTACTCTGTTATTGATTTTTTTCTTGACCACCTTTATAAAATAGTCATTCTTTATTTCCATGTACAATGTCCTTTCACTCTGTGTTATTCTTCATAGTCCCTATGAATCATTACCTATTAAAGAATTTCTTGCTTATTTTATTATTTATCTTCCCAACTAGAATTTAGACTCTATGAAAACAATAGCTTTATTTGTTTTATTTATAACACAATCCACAGTACCTAAATGACTATTTCATAGTAAATTCTCAATAAATTTTTGTTAAATGAATGACTAAAATAATTAAGCTTTGAGTCCAACTGTATCAATATGTTGAATATTTAAACTATTTATGATTATACTACACTTGATCTTAGCCAAAAGGCTGAGAAGCGATCTGTATTTATGATTATAAGGTATCACCCCCATATCATTAACTTTCTAGATAGATGTATAGTGCATTTCAAGAAGCACAGCTAATAGGCTGCTTTGCTGAAATTGTTTTACATTTTCATTCATTGTGTGCACGTCAATATTTACTAGTATACACAAAGATTTCCTGGATCCCATGAGCAAATAAATCATCTGCAACAATCTTATCATTTTACTTAGAAGTGATGTTTCATTAAATGGTAAGTAAAATATCCAACAAATACTATTTAGTAAATCACAAAAAAGCACTGAATATGAGATTATTGAAAGATTTAGTATCTGATTATATTTGAAAATACTTCATACATATGAAATATAATGAACTGAAATGATTCTAATTATCTATAGAGAATATAAACCTGACAATATATACCAATAATCAAAATACAGCACATTCAATATGCTAGTACAGGGCCTAAACTTATGCTTTTAATTTTGATCCCCAGGGAGCTCTGTACTATACAAAGTCTAGACACAAATGTATGCCCTTGTCTAATTTGTTATCTCTATAGAATGAGAGGCTTCAATATTGCAATATCTGTAAGACTGTGCTTGGATATGCTAATAGTCTCCTGCTGGTACTTTTGGATGTCAGTACCATAACACAAATATTCACTTCTTTCTTATGGTGAATTTCTCCTCTTGAAACCATTTTAATTATTATTATCTTAAATAATTATTTAACTTGAGAATTATTTTAGAGTTACAGAAAAAAATTTAAAACAGTTCAGACGTTCAATGTAACTCTGCGGCAGTCTGAACAGTGATCTGCAAAAAGATCACTCTAACTTCTGGAATCTTCTAAGGTTACCTTATATGGCCTAAAAGGGCTGTGCAGATGTGATTCAAGTGAGGATTTAATCTGGGATTATCTGTGTGTACCATAATGACACTCGTATGTTATGTATGATAGGGCATCATGGAGATTTGATCACAGATAAATGATAAAAGGGGAGTAGGCAATGTGACCTTGGAAACAGGACATGTGGCCACAAACCATGGATGCCAGAAGCCACCAGAAGATGCACAGCTCTTCCAACCAATTGATTGTTGTTCAGGGAAACTGATTTTGGACTTCTGGATGGAGAGGAGGATGGGGTCTGGGTGGAGGGGGGCAAATAAAGGGGGGTAATGGGACATCCATAATAATGTCAACAATAAAATATAATTTTTTAAAAAAAGAATAAATATGTGTTGTTTAAGCTTACAGGTTTGTGGTAATTTGTTACCACAGTCACAGAAAACTAATACAATTCTTGACTAATTTTCCCTACAGGGTACATTTGTATAGCTAAGAAACCAAGATTGACACAATACTATTTTCTAAATTTCAGATTTTATTTAGATTTCATTAGTTTTCCCACTGATAACATTTCCTCTTCTTGCATTAATGGTTGTGTCTCTTAAATCTCTTCTGGTCTGTGAAAAGCTCTCTGTCTTTTCCTGTTTTTATGAGTTTGACAGTGTTGAGAATACTAGTCAGGTATTTCACAGAATGTCTTTCAATTGTGATTTTCTGACATTTGCTCCTGCTGAGACTGGGGTTAGTTACAGTTTTCAGAGACTCACATGAAGTGTTTTTCTCTTCACATAGTATCAGCAAGGTTTGTCTCTTTTTTCCTCAATCATTTATGTACTCAGTCATTTATTTATATGAGTGTGTTCTCATTCATTTTATATTGTGGAAAATAACCAATTCTAGGTTATTTAGTTTTTGCTCTAATTGTTCCACGTTCACCATTCGTAGCTCTTTCAGATTGTTCCTAAGTCACTTTGACAAAGCTTCACCCTTTTGTTTGTGTGAACACTCCTTTACTTTCTGCTACTACAAAATTCTCTAGGCTTATCTTGTATTTTTTCCTACTCCCAACATAAAATATACTATTTCTACAAAGATCCTCCTTTCATTTTTATTTTTATTTTTTTTTATTTTTTATTTTTTTGGAGGGACTGGTTCTTTATTTTAAAAAGATACTTGTTCAATTTTCAGTATCAAAACAGTTGCACTATTGGTTTCTCTTTCTCCAAATTGGCCCCCAAAGGGATCACACCAAAGGAGAGTACATTTTAAGCCAATAAGCTGCAGGATGCGCACCTAACAGACCTCACAGAAACCTCACTAAAAATGGGGCATTAGGTAGGGAAAGAAACTTAAAGATCAGCACACTGCCAGCCCAGACTGTAGCGAGCTCTCACAGCCAGACGGGGTGGCCAGTGTGCCCCAACCCCAAAGAAGCAAAGTTTCAAAATAATACAAAATTTTAAAAGTTTTGTACATAAACTATTCAAGATTTCTCCAGCACTAACTGGTACAAAGCACAATGAGATGGCACTTTTAGAGACAGCAGCTTCAGACCCAGAGGAGGGTAATGAGATGAGTTTCATTTGGCTAAATCAGTGGCAAAAACATAATTTTCTTTCTTTCAAGGAGGCAGGAGAGCAAATAACTGGTCACTTCAACCTAAGGGGCACATGATCCATTTTGTGAACCATTGGGCTTGAAAGGGAAGAGATGGGACTAGAATTTGGTCTCTGACGGAGAGGTCTCACCATTTTAATTTGGTCACTTCTGATGAAAAAATAAATTGCCCAAAGATGCTTTAAAAGCTAAAACCTAAACATCACTTTTTTTTTTTTTGGCCTCCTCCTGGAATCACCTTTCCGATGTGGCTAGTGCTCTGCACAAAGCAATGATTCCCACAGTGGAGTCGTTCTCTGGGCTCTCGGGGGCTCTCAGTAAGGCAGGCCCATACCTCTTTCCCTCCTCTATGGAGAGGGCAAAATGACCTCCTAAAAGCGAGAAGGGATTAGACTGCTGCTCGAGAACTGTGGAATTATTTGGAATGTTTTACAAATGGTTGCCACATCAACAACAAAAAGGTAATTACAAAATGTGTACATCACAACATGCTTTTAAAGACACTTTGCATTGTGCTCACATTCCCTTAAATGTTGTTCCCAAAGGTGCTCAGCCTCTAGCCCAATCAAAATCTCTGAGGGGAGGCAGAGATAATTTGGCGAAAAAGACGCGGGGTGGGGGGGGGTGGGGGTGGGAGGGTGGTGGGAGGCAGTGAAAGGAGAAAGCAGCCTTCCAGTTAAAGATCAGCCCTCAGTTTAAAGGTCAGCTTCCAGCAGGCTGGCCTCAGGCGGAGTCAGGGTCAGAGGGAGGAGCAGCGGCAGGGTGGGACTGGGTGCTCTACATCTCATTCAGGTCAAGCAGAGTCTGGTCCAGCATCCTTTGTGTACAGAGGTGTTCCTCTTTGGTGCATTTCAGTTTATCTTCCAAATCATCAATTGTCTTTTCCAGCTTGGCTACCGATCTCTCAGCAAACTCAGCACGGGTCTCTGCCTCCTTGAGTTTATCAGTAAGAATCTTTATCTCTTCCTCATATTTGTCTTCTTTTTGAGAGTACTTTTCCTCAGCAGCACTCAGACACTTCAGGTTCTGGTCCATCAGTCTGATCTGCTCATCCATCTCTCGGCAACGGGACTCTGCCAGCTCAGCTCGTTCCTCTGTGCGTTCCAAGTCTCCCTCAATAATCACCAACTTACGAGCCACCTCTTCATACTTTCTATCTGCCTCTTCTGCAATGCGCTTAGCTTCTTTGAGCTGTATTTCCTGGAGTTTCATCTTCTCTTCATCTTTTAAAGCTCGGTTTTCAATAACCTTCATGCCTCTCTCGCTCTCATCAGCAGCTTTCTCAGCTTCCTCCAGCTTTTGCAGGGCAGTGGCCAGGCGTTCCTGAGCACGGTCCAGCTCCTCTTCCACCAGCTGGATCCTACGGTTCAAGGAGGCCACCTCAGCCTCAGCCTGCTCCCGAGCCCGCCTCTCCCCCTCCACCTCCCGCTGGAGGCGCTCGGCCCGCTCCTCGGCGTCCTCGGCCTGCTGCTGCAGGACCTGGATCTTGCGCTTCACCGCCTCGATGGTGGTGATCCCGGCCATGGTGCCCACCCAGCGCCTGCTCGCGTTCGCCTTCCTGCCTCCTCCGCTCCGCGCTGCAACCGCTTCTCCCCTCCTTTCATTTTTAAAGAATGGCATTTAAAAGCCCAGGTCAGCAAATGGGACTACATCAAAATAAAAAGCTTCTGCACAGCAAAACAAACCATCAACAAAACAACAAGAAAGCCCACTGCATGGGAGAACATATTTGCCAATGTTATTACTGATAAAGGTTTAATCTCCAACATTTTTAGGGAACTCATACTACTTAACAAAAGGAAGATAAACAATCCAATAAAAAAATGGGCAAAGGACCTAAATAGATACTTTTCAAAAGAGGACATTCAGAAAGCCAAGAGACATATGAAAACATGCTCAAAGTCACTAATCATCCAAGAGATGCAAATCAAAACAACAATGAGGTATCATTTCACACCTGTCAGAATGGCTGTCATCAACAAATCAACAAACAACAAGTGCTGGAGAGGATGTGGAGAAAAAGGAACACTTGTGCACTGCTGGTGGGAATGCAGACTGGTGCAGCCACTATGGAAGACAGTATGGAGTTTCCTCAAAAAACTGAAAATGGAACTCCCATTTGACCCAGTGATCCCACTTGTAGGAATATATCCCAAGAAACCAGAAACACCAATCAGAAAGGATATATGCATCCCTATGTTCATAGCAGCACAATTCACCATAGCGAAGATCTGGAAACAGCCTAAGTGCCCATCAGCAGATGAATGGATTAGAAAACTGTGGTACATCTACACGATGGAATACTATACTGCTGTAAAAAAGAAGGAGCTCTTACCATTTGCAATGGCATGGATGGAACTGGAGAGCATTATGCTAAGTGAAATAAGCCAGTCAATGAAGGAAAAACACCACATGACCTCACTCATTTATGGATAATAAAGACCATTATAAACTGATGAACAAAAATAGATACAGAGGCAGAGCAGCATTGAACAGACTGTCAAACTACAGCGGGAAGGCTGAGGAAGGTTGGGGGGCGGGAGGGGAAGTAAGAGATCAACCGAAGTACTTGTATGCATGCATATAAGCATAACCAATGGACACAAGACACTGGGGGGTAGAGAAGGCTGGGGAATATCAAGGGGTGAAAAAGGAGACATATGTAATATTTTAAACAATAAAAAAATTACAATATTGCCCAGCGTGTGTAGCTCAGTGGTTGAGCATCGGTCTATGAACCAGGTCACAGTTCAATTCCCAGTCAGGGCACATGCCCAAGGTAGGGGGACATGCAAGGGGTAGCCATCAATGCTTCTTTCTCATCATTGATGTTTCTCTCTCTCTCTCCCTCTCCCTTCCTCTCTAAAATCAATAAAAATATACTTTTAAATTACAATAGATATAAATTAATTAAACAAAACTACTTTTGATTATATAAAAGGCAACTTAATCTTTAAAATGGAAAGAAAAAGATTGAAAAATATAATGTATGTGTTACTCAACATGCTAAATCATGTCCCTGCACACTGTTGAGTTGTTTCTTCCCTATGTAGGTGGCATGAGAAATTGTTACCCTCACGAGAGCCTTGTTCCCCTGAGAGTTTCATACCTGTGTAATTTTCTCCTTGTTCTCATTCATTAGGCTGTGAAATTTCACCATGACTCTGCATAACATTATTTTTAAAAGGACCAGACTCTGAGCAGAGCTCATTTGGTCATCATTTAATGAAGTGAATGCTAATACTTTTAGTATACATCAGCTTCTCCCCAAACTGAGTCTGCAACCATGGACAGGGACAACACCTTAAGACAAAACTTAAATTGATTCATGTCAAAAAGTTAAGCCCTTACTAAGGTATTTTATATATCCATCCTCATTTGTTATTCACAGATATAATTCTGTAAAGTATGTGGATGAGATCACTTTATCTCTATGTCACAAATACAGAAATTGATATCAACAGATAATTTTCTGAAAGCAGAAAAATCCACAGCAGATGAAACAGTTAAACCCAGTTTTCCTAGCTCCACGTTAACAATGTTTTCTCCATCTCTGCATGCTTGAGGGACCTTGGAAGCTTTTGATTAGTATGGGGAGGGAATTTCTCCTATATTATTTACACATTCTCCTGAGGCTGAGTTTCTGATTTCAGACTCACAATTCAGGATTGGATCTCCCTTCTTTTCAAGAGCAAGGTAAGCTTCTATATTCAATATTCACTTGTAATACCTTAACTAATAAAGAATTTAAAAAAATCTATTCACTTGTAGTGAATAATGTAATTGATACAGAAGCAGAAGGAGGCTACATCTACTTTGAGCTCATATCTGGTTGTTTGAACACTTTTTCTGAAACATTGGCATTAGTATAGAATTAAAATGCAAAGCATTTTAATCAGCAAAGAGCAGAGTAATATTAATGAAATCCCATGCTGCCTTCCTTAAGAGAATAACAAAAATCTATAAGAGATGATACTCTGATTGAGTAGTTGGTATATGCTTCTGTTTACTATGAGTTGACTTGTCACTGAAGAGACAGCTAACCAATCAGGGTAAAATGACACTTCTTTAAGACTCCAGAAGAACCATCATAAAGCTACCAAGATCCTTACTCTATTTCACAATCATTTCCTCACAATCTCACCCTTTTATTACTTGCTCATCTAGAAAATCTGACACTGCAGTGATTAAGTCATAGGCATTGGGATCAGTTAGACATAGGTTTGCATCTTTACTACTTCATACTAGGTAAGGATTTTTAAAAGGTAGATAACCTCTAGAAACATCCATTTCATTGACTGTAAATTAGATTGTGTGTGTGTAATCTAATTCCTTCCCTTCCTCCTGTGCTATTTATCATCTATCTATGAATCAATCATCATTAGTATCATCCAGTATTTATATATTTCACACTCTATTTATGAGACAAACTACACATAATCAGTAATTTTAAATTGTTACTAACCTCAGGAGATATACTAATATCAATTGATATATTGTGATGTTTTCATATTTTATATTATTATGTGGGTGAGGTGTTGAGGAATACGAATAAAAAATAATGTGTTTAGGGGACAGGAGAAAGATGGTAGAGAAGAGTGATTACCAAGAATGGATATTTTTCAAAAGGCTTCAATTAAAAATACAAAGATTTGTGCTTTCTCGTGAATAGATCTTCAGATTACTATCAACTCTCAGACCACGAATTTTCACACCTCAATACTTCAATATTTGCAATCCAGATAAGTGCTGATAAGAATGAAAGTAAGAATGAGTGTAAGGAGGGAAATCCTTCAATACAATCTAAATGTGGATATAAAAAAATATTAAGAAAAAGAGGACCTTGAGAACATTACGTGAAGTGAAATAAGTCAAACAGAGAAAGCTAAGAACTATATGATTTAACTCATATGTGGAATATAAAACTGAAACTTATGTACACAAACAGCAGTGTGGTGGTTCCCAGGGGGAGGGGCGTGGGTCCTAATATAAGATGACAGGAGAAGTTTTGACTTTAAGTGGTGGATACATGGTCCTATATACAGATTTTGTAAATTAGTAATCCACACATGTAACCTGTATGTTTATCTAGACTAATATCACCCAAATATAATTTAAAATAATGGGAATTAAAAAGAAAGAAAAAGAGGATGGATGGACCTGGAGAGCATTATGGAGAGCATGATCTCACTCATTTGTGGAATATAATGAACATAAACTGATGAACAAAAATAGGTCCGGAGACAGAGAAACACCAAATGGACTGTCAAACCTCAGAGGGAAGGTGATGGGGGGGGGGGGGGGGGGGGGTAATAAGAGATCAACCAAAGGATCATATTTAAAATACTGGGAATAAAAAAGAAAGAAAAAGAGGACTTGAAGATCCCTATGCTATCATTCAAAATGACAACAGAGTAAAAAATACATGGGTGGGGGACACAATACCTGAGTGGGAGGAATTGAAAAGGCAATTCAAAGATTAGGGCTACCACACTTCAAAGCCACCCATCTGCATCTGTCACCTAACTGACCTAAACCAGCATAGGGACCATGGTTCTACGCTAATAATATTATAGCCAGTACTCACCAGGATTGTGCTTAACACCCACATTGTGCTGTTTTCATGCATCATTTCTTTCAACTCTTACAATAATTCCTTGAAGTAAGTCTCAACACCACCTTCATTTTGCTGGTGGGTAAAATTAGTGAAATTAAGTGACAAGAAGAAACTTCTGAGATGTTCTAAATTAAATTGCAGTGTCCAGAGAGTGAGACTACTAACTTGTTAGTCTGTTAATGGCTGCTGGCTCATTGACAAACAACTGCTCACATTCCTTCCATTGACTTTGAAATTTCAGATGAATTTCTGAAGATTATTTTAGTTAAGCACCAGCTAACTCCAGGAGCCTCTGCTTGTTGTTCACATGGGGGATTTCTGGCTGCTGCCTACAACCAATCCACAGGAATGGACATTTCTTTATGCAGGCCTGTGCCTATCCCAGAGCTGGCCCCACCTCACCTTCTTCAACCCCATTGCCTATAGATAATGTAAATCCTGTCAGACTCTCTCTTTCCCCTCCCTGCCCCCTACTTGATGTATAAAAACACATACACACATACAAAACTCTGGGACAATGGACACACTGTCTTTTGTATCTTGCCATGCTACTGAGGGCTTAGACTCCATGCCCCAAGACCAGTCTTTTTTTGGCTAGTATTTTGACTCAGTAAAAGCTTACTTACAAAAAGACTTTAAGCCATGAAAGTTAAAGATTTTTTAACATAAGGCAAATGTTTTTCAGGTTGTAAATGGTAGGGCTGATATATGAATACATACACATATTTTTCTCAGAGCCAAAGCTTTTACAACCAATGCTATACCTTCTCTTTGGAATTGGCTTTGTTGGTTATGCATGCCTCTAATGCTGAATTTAGTCCACTGCATCTACTATTTATTTGTGTACTACTGGACTATGCCACTCTATGAATTAAGTTAGTTACAATAGAAACATCTAAATAAATTGAATGAAATTAAATTTAATTCAATTTCATTAATAGCATTTAAGTTGGGAACCACTCTGATTGAG